ACTTGAGCTTCCTAATGCAAATTTTTGGAACGTTTGTGTTGTTTGCTTGCTTTGTTCATATTTGATAGCTCGTTTGAGTACTTCATCTGTTGCGAACGTTTCGAATGTCAAGATATCTTGCAATGCAGTATTTTTCATTCGGGATATGAATAGGTCACGGACCAGTTCTTCTTCCAATCCACCCGATTCGGCCGTGGCTGCTTGTGCAGTTAGTGCCGCATGAAAAGACTCCAGGGGCTCTCCGGATTCTTGTGCTCTGGTGAAAAATCTATATCGCTCATACGTGATGTTTTTCGTTTTTTCAAATGATACCTTAGCCAATCTCACCATGTCATTGAACTCCAGTTTTGATATTTCAATATGTGGATTTTTCTGCGCGAATTTGTTTCTCACTTCTGTGCCTAGCGCCAGGAAAAAAAACGAGACGTAAGTTGTTTTTGGACTTCATTGTAAAACTCATTATATCCGACTTTGCGTCCGCATTCCTTTCTTTCTTGGTTTTCGAGTATTCCTTTGTCTCTTCTCAGTCTATCTCTCGCTCCCGGTCCGTTACTGTCTGTGCATCTTCGGTTGCTTCCGGAGTTTCTGAGCGAGGCATTGGCTCATCAATAACTTCTTTTGGTTCTTCTCAGGATTCACATTTTCTCTTTCACCGTCACTGCTAACATAAATTGGTCCAACCAAATTTTAAAATTCCACGTTGGATCCGAACTAGCTGATGTCCAGAACACTGGAATACCCGTGTCCGTTCGGTTATCCTGTGCCATGAATCCTGCTGGCTGCGCCATGTGGTAAGGTGATGTAATGCTGTAAGCTATATTGAAAATGAGTCTATCTCTCGCTCCCGGTCCGTTACTGTCTGTGCATCTTCGGTTGCTTCCGGAGTTTCTGAGCGAGGCATTGGCTCATCAATAACTTCTTTTGGTTCTTCTCAGGATTCACATTTTCTCTTTCACCGTCACCGCTAATATAAATTGGTCCAACCAAATTTTAAAATTCCACGGTGGATCCGAACTAGCTGATGTCCAGAACACTGGAATACCCGTGTCCGTTCGGGTATCCTGTGCCATGAATCCTGCTGGCTGCGCCATGTGGTAAGGTGATGTAATGCTGTAAGCTATAGTGAAAATGAAATAGTTTCAAGAGTTATTTTTAAACCAAAATTTTGTTTTCTCAATCAATAGACGGTTCCAAGAACCAGCTCATTTTGTCGTACCATCGTACGCAGAGCTAACGTAAAATTTAAGTCTATTCAGTGATCAACAATTAATGACCTTGACTTAAGTTTAGTAACAATATATAATTACAGATATCGATAGGCGTCCCAAGATTAGTGTGCAGCGAGATTAACATGATTACTGCACATGCAGTATGTGCTGCACCACAGGACTATTGAAGATTAAAATCGCATGACTCTAAATGTGCCACGTTAAAATCCAATCTGGGAGAAGCTACTAAGTTGTTTGCCAGAAATGTTAATCTAATCGACAGGCCTAAAAATTGAAGTTTCCCAACTGTTTTCTGTGCAAAGAACAACGTCTTTCTGATCCGAAAAGAAACTAATGCCCTAGTCTTTTGTAGCAGCGCTTCTACACGCTTATTTGTGTCTGCTTTGTTTGTTAAGCGACTCGATTGGTTTGGTATTCACTTGATTCTCACGGTAGCTCGACTCAATTTAACAAAGTTCAAAAAAATGACGTTTTTTTTTTCAAGATTTTGTTTAAAAAAAGACCTCTGCAATGCGTATGAAAGCATGAAGTTTCTTAAAATCCAGAGAAATACTCGCAAACGAATCTATTAATGTTGTTAAATTCATAAATTTTAGAATTCGAAACTTTTCACGATAGTTACAGATGAATTGTACCAAATTTTGAAGTATAAATTTTATTTGCCATATAGTTGTTTTAAACTCTTCAATGGCAGAGTTTAAACCATTGGGAAAAAACTGGACAAAAACCAGTTTGATTTCGGTCTAAAACGGAAACATAGATAAAACGTCGAAGTCTTAATAGTCAGTAATGTTGTTCAACGACTTTTAGATAAATCCTGAACCTAGCAGATTGTTCTCAGATTTGTATCCTCGTTTTTTGAAACAATTAGATTAGTGGCTACACATATCAAGCTTGCCCGCGTGTTATCAAAAGACTTTTGGCAAATCCATAGTCACAATTTAGAAGATGGAGTTGAAAAAGCACTTCTTTGAGTTGTAGTTTAGAGGAGTTGAAACAGCACTTCTTTGAGTTGTAGTCAGCTCCTCAATTCTCAGGCACTCTGACGAGACCCCGTTGTTATTTTACCGAGCTTTTCGATTAAATAGAGATTCAGATTATCTGTGATAGCTCGCTAGACATGTTTTGTGCCCTTTCTTTTCTTCATGCAGGACTTACAAGTTTGCAAACTACCCTTCCTTGATGGCAATCCTACTGGTGAGAATAATGAGCCTACTACCATAGAATATTAGTAGTAGCACATACTTACTGATGATAACCCAACTGATACCAGTACAAAAAAAATTTGCGTAGCCGCTGGTTATGCAGCTGGGCTAATTTCTCGAGTGTACTGAGAACAATTAGTTGGGTTTTCAAACCGGTGACAAGAGATATCAAAAACTTCGACTGTGAAGTTTTTTGTGAATAATTAAAACTATCCATTTTTGTTACCACAGTTTTGCCGAAGTAAACTAAAGAAACTCGTTTCGGCATTAGGTACAGATTCAACTGTATAAAACAAACTGGTTGATCTTGTGATACTTGCTTGTTCACTTTTCATCAGGCCGATTACTAGATGCGTAGGACAATAAATTTGATTTTCAATGTTCTGAAGTAATGTTGAATATGATGTAATGTTGAAAGCAAAAGTTTGACATTATTTCCGCAAAAATCCAAACCATTTAACCTTCTATTTTTGATTTAACGGTGAAACATTTGTGGTTGCTCAGAAAGAACTTAATGCTTCTTGATGTTTGTCAAAAACCTTCTCCTGCAGTTTTCGCCGATGAAAAACTACGTTGGGGTTCAGGAGCTTTTAGTGAGAAGTATCAAGCTAGTACTACTTGATAATCTAGGCAGCAGGAGAGTAACTGGCGAGGTTTAAGGAACCGTACCTTGCCTGAATGAGCTGTTAGCTCAAGCTCCCATGACTTAGAGGAGGAGTTTTCCAAACCCAATAATTTTTACTCAACATATAGCCAGCTTCTTCCCGTCGCTGTGTTTTGAAGAAAACTTTGACCATGGGAAGCGTTACATTTGAGCACAATTGTACGCTAAGGTCAATTGATTGCCCTGGTTGAGCAAACACTTACCTTTCCTCAGAAAGAGAACAAAATGACAGAACAACTCGGACTTCGTTCGAAACTGGAGACTTTCTTTGGGCTGTTGAGCCAAACATCCTGCGTGAGCACACCCCATTCATCCGTATAATCAAATTGCGCTGCGGAAAAAAAACGGATGCGATCCATCCGCAGACATTGAAACCGCATCGAGTGAACTGACTGGTCCGACCGTTCTTCCGTTTTTAGGGGTGGAAGATATTGCAACGCACAGGTAGATAAGGCAAGCGTGCTATTTTGTTGAACCGAAATCAAAGTTTACAAGAGGTTTATAGCCTTTTGTATATACAGAACAGACTGTTCAGACCGCTTTGGCGTTGTTTCGGGCACCCTAAATTTTGGCTTTAATAAGGTCAATAGACAAAGCTGGCCTTATTGGACCAACTTTCAAAAAAAAATCTTTTAATTCTCTTCAGGCGTGTGTAAGCACGCCCGTCAAAAAAAGCAAGTTGTTTTCAAGGAAGATTTTTGTTCGTTTTGGCTAGCTTGCGCCGTTTTAACATTCAAGTTTATACGAGAAAATTAATGCTATTAACATGATTTATAGCGGTGTTCGGTTTTGTAAATGAACTACTGACAATTGTGTTTGTTTTTACCGAGAATAGGAGTGAAACTTTTTGTCCTAGTCGTTTTAATTAGTTAACGCTGTTTTTTCAGCTGAATCGGCTTTTCAGACCTCAGAGAAAAAAACTTTTATTTTTTACTTACGTTTCTCGTTACTTGTTCAAAATTTTCAACATTTAGTTCATTTAGGATTTCATTCATGTTTAGTCGACAATAGTATTGCAAGGAGCTGGACGTTAATCAAATTTCATTCTGGCGAGATAGATGATGAGGTTAGGGAACGCGGAGTTTTAGCGGGTAATTTTAGCCCCTCGGCCATGTCTCCGAGCCTGTCATCTCTTCCCCTCTATCCTTTCCCGTCTCTTCTTCGTCTGTCAACCCCCATACCCCCAGCCCCCCTTCTCTCTCTCTCTCTCTCTCTCTCTCTCTCTCTCTCTCTCTCTCTTGTGGCCCACTTTTAACCACATAATAACAACTCCTCCTATCCGTTGCCCCTATGTCTATTTCTAGATTTAGAAACCAACAAATAACTCCGGCTGGTATGACGTCAATAACAGAGAAAGGACAATGCCATAATCAATAGGCAGAGGAGTTTAGGAGCCGAATATATTTTACTCCACTAATTTTTTTCGTTTGTGAAAAGATTATGAGAAGGGTACGAAAAGATTGTTAAAATATTCACGCTAAGAGCAATTAAAAGAAAAAAAATGAATTCCGAAAATCAAAATGAAACAATGAAAAGATTATAATAATACGGTCAAATAAATTTTTTTTGAAGTAATTTCGCTGAAATTTTCAACAGTAATAATTACCAATGCTACTATTGAATTGTAGTGATATTGCAAAAAACTGAACACCGAATCCAAAAAAAATCAACATGAGCCTTTGGCATCAGTTGCTTAGCATCAAAAAAATCCCCAACTTTCTCCCCAAAATGTTTCCGAAAAATTTTGTCGGCTTGTTGAGCTGGGTGATTTTAAGAGTTTGCCTTTTTGTAACTTTATTTGAAGATAGGCGGGCACGCGGGCACAGAAGAGATAAAAAGAGATTGAAAATGGAGAAAATTAGGAGCCAGCGATGAGCGCTCTCTCTTTTGCCAGCATTTATTTTTCAATTTCTTTCTATCTCTCTTAGTATCTCTATTTTTTGTATATTTTACTTTTTCACCTTGTTCCATTTGGGTCCCTTATCCCCATTTCATATTTCTGCCAATTCTTTTCTTTTTCCATCTGCGGAAACTGGGCTAGGTTAAGTAAAAAGAGTTGTTACGTAATAGTGTAATAATGGTAACAAGTAGGCCCTTTGCTACATACGTTGCCATCTAAATGGGCAACTTGAGGCTTATCAAAGAAAAGGCAACTAACTTTTTCGTGTGATTCTGTTTTTTTCCGCTTCCTTTTTTACCTACAGCATTATTTGGCCTTTGGTTAAAAATTATTAAGTAGCGCAAACTTTGGCTCTTTTGTTGGATAATCACGGTAGTAAAATATGCACTGTTGAAGTTACTGGCCTGTCGTTTTGTTATCATTTTTTTCTTTTATACTTTCGTCTTGCTGGTCCAGTTAACCAGTGCTCTTTTTTGGCTCCTCAGTTGGCAAATTTACCATACCGACGAAGATGGTCAATCATACCAACAGGTAACAAAATTGGCTGCATTGAAGGGAAAAGATGAAAGGATCCCCTGCTTTCCGCCTTACTTCCCTCCAAACACATTCACTTCGCATAAAGCTACCACTGGACATTTGTGCGTTTCCTGTTCCAGACATTGAAACCTCCTTTGTTCCGCTGGCACAGTTTATTATAGCGCCCATTTCTCATTGTGGACTTAACCTATCATACTTTTGACAACATCAGGTTTGTTGACCACTTTTTCAATGTGTTTTGGAAGTTGCCTTTTTAACTGGATTGCAATTAATGAAACCAAATGTTTTTAGTGCATCTGAATTTGGCTGATGTTTTTTCTATTCTAATTCTAAATTTTTCAACGGCACTTCAGTGTGCCAAAACACACGAAGAATTAATTTTTGGCCTAAAATAATAACCAATTTTATCCAGTGCCCGTATTCACACAGAAATTCACACAGAAAACACAGAATTCACAAAAGCTAGCCATTTGACACAAAAGTCATTTTGTATCATGACTTATCGGGTTACCAAGTAAGTCAAACAATACTCGTAGCTCGCATAGACGGGTCTCCTCTTAAAAATGTTTTTCCGCCAGTTTTTTATGCACAGTGCCGGAAATAAGGTTGGAGCTCTGTGAGATTCAGAAAACGTCTGTATCCCACTTAATCAGGAAGCCGTGAAACTCGATAACTCGTTGATCAATGAAATTGAAGCTTCAACTTTGGTAAATTCAGAAAACGAAAGCGAAAAAAACGAGGTCACATTTGAACATCTTCATTAATTTGAGAAAAAAAAACAAGTATCTGCTCTTTCGCGCGGATAAGGGTTAAGACACAGAAGAGGTTTTTTGTTCATGCGTGTTTTTCGCTTTCGTGATTCACTCGGTTGTGACTCACCTGTTTCATTCGGTTGCATATAGACTCAATAAAATGTAATACAATTCCCACGATCAGCTGCAGAAATAACAAGAATGCTCGTATCAGGGAGAAGCACTCAATTTTCCGACTGCCTAAAAGAAAAAATTTTTAAAATTTTCAAAAAACAAAAAATTAACTTTTTTTCGTCGAGTTTTTTTTCGATAACCAAGCCCAACGCGCTATGTAAAGTACTAAGGAGCAAGTTTTGCCATAAAATATAGCAAAGTATTAAGTAGTCTGAATTGAATGCGTCAATTTATTTCGGAATGATTTTTAAGACGGATGAAATCTCCGAAATATATCGCGCGGTAATTATCCCAATTTGGCTGAATTGGCAAATACCCATAACAATGCAAAAAATTTCAAGGTAAAAATTCCTACTAAATTTGAGCCCAAAAAACAATAAATTTTAGATGGGATAAAAAAAATTCGGTAAAAAAATTGAAAATTAATAAGCCGAAATTAGTCTGGAGAAAAAACATCACCCTGAGCACAAACATTCCGTCACTTTCTTCGTAGATTGGAACAAATAGCAATCATTACAAAAAGTACAAGACTGTGCGTATAAGAGCGAAACCTCGAATGCTTCCACTGCCTTTTGAGCTCATTAGAGTAGTGTTAGCACAAAGAAAAATTGATCAAACTTTTTTTTAAAATGACTATTTTTGAGATTTTTTTAAAACTTTTTCTCCCACTGTTTTAAATACAAGGTGATATATTTTGCGTTTAGCAAAGCTGTAAATAGACTATGGATGATGCCTCAATTCAATTTGAGAACAATTTGCCA